AGAGAGAATGGACCGCAACTCAAAACCGTAGCTCGGGCTTCCCAAAGCCTCCTTATCAGGCCCTTTTCTCGAAAGACAAGCAGATTCTCCCAGAGTCGAAGATTTTCTGACCTTTTGCACCTCCGAAGGTGCAAAACAGCCAGTTTCCCACGCTCATGTACATTTTCCCACGCTCTTTGTGAATTGAATTCAAGAAAATAATTCATGCAATAAACGAAATTGCATTTAATATATTGGGTTTCGTCGTCGTTCCTTTAGAGGCCTCCGCCACTTTGTACGCTCATGCAATTTCGTTTACTCGATCCAACGCAGTGGACTGCCGCGTCCCCAGTTAGCTCGCAACACAATCGTCGCGCTCGGATTCGATTTATTCGCTGTGGATAGCACGATCGAGTTATCGGGGTCTCTTAGGACACTCAATTCGCTTTAAATAGCCACTTAATTACTTCTTCGATCCGAACGATGCTCATCTTGGATCGCTGTGGGTAAATAGGATATCCTCCTGTTAATATGGATCCTCGAACTGCGGCTTAGCTATATACAGTTCGGATGTGTGGCGAAAGTTCCGATCCCCACTCAGTGTGCGAACATTCTTAACTAGTTGCCTCGTCGCCTGTCTCAATCGCTTGGCTTGGTCGTTTAATTTACAGTTTCCCATGTAGTTCTAGTCATCAAGTTCAGTCGACTAAATCCTTTAGTATAAGTATAAAGCATTGCTTTGTGATTAATCCTTTGGGGAGCAGGGTTCGATCCCTTTTCCGAAAAGCCGCAAGCGTTCCTGTCCCTTTCTTCGTATTGAATCTATCAAATCATTCACTCTGGAATACTTAACTTTTCTGCTAGTCCTGACTCTTACCTAGGACGAGCCTTATCGTTCATGAATTTCTTTTACAACCCTAGAATCATGAGCTGAAATTCTTGGTTTTCTTGGAGACCCGCGGAAGAGATCACTAGAAAGTTCACCAAATTGAACAATTCACTTATCTATGAAATGAAAGTGCCGAAATAATCCCGAACCATTAGACTATGCAGAAATGTTCCAATATTAGTCAAACTCTTGATCACTTGAGTCCTGCGGATCGCTTTTCCGGTGGTTCCCCGGTGTTCCTTAAAAAAACCCAAACCGGGCTAAATTTTAGCCCTCAAGTCCAATTTTTCTCGAAAACTCCAGAACATCCAGAAAATTTTCGAATCCAGTCGGGAAACCCTTTTTCCTGTTGAGCGCTTTGGCCTCGTTGAAGTGCTACTCAGTACTTTTGTACCATACGCTTCAACAACACCGTCTGTACGGCCGAAGCTTTTCATTCCGGTGATACATGCACTAGGGACGACGCATGAAAAGAAAGTCCTTTGACTTTTCCTCGGTCGGATGGCTGGTTATCACTGGATGAGCTAATATCAATCAATTACTATTGAAATTTAACCACAGATTTAACTTTAATAATGTTTCCAGAAGGCAAAATTTTCGGTCAACATCAATTTCAGTCTTTTGATTGGAAATGCTATGGGCTCATCAGGGTTCTGCCTGCGTTCCCAACAACCGATGCAACTTTGCATTTTTCGCAATAACTCTCCCTAGAGACCTTACTGATACGATCGGTGTACGGTGCCGTTACCGTAATCAAGCAAATGATTCACCAGCGCATTGTAGCACTGCGTGTAATAGTAAGGTAGTAAATATCGCCCAAATGCGTAAAGCGTTAAGGAGCGACATGAATGTATGCGGGTACGGGCGGATGTGTGGCTACGGCTGTCGTCAGCAGTGGCATGCCGGCCGCCGGCAGTCGGGTACCGTAATCCGGACGCCGTCGGTCCCTAATCAATCCCCCTTCTCATACGCCATACAATTGAATTATTGGCACCCGTCCTACGGCACCCTTCTATGCAGTCTAAGCCTTGTACAGAACTAGCCAGATGATGTTGTCGCCAGAACGACTCTAGCAAAAGGAGGAGAGGGGCTTTTGGGAGAGTAGTCTTGCCTGTGTGTTCTACTATATAGTTACTGGTAAGTATGACTCAAAATAGGGCTGTGCGAAACAGCAGAATGCGTTGGTAGACTTCAAAAGGTACGGTAGACCTGATGGGAGACTGTCCGTCCTAATGCAAGTATGTAAGAGCCTCCGGCACCAGGTCCTAGGCCGTCCTTCATAAACAGAATGGTCTCGCTCACCATCAACCTTTCAAGAATCAATAAAGACGCTGTCAGAGGCAAGTAAATCAGATTTGCTCGTCATAAGGCGAACCGCCTACTGATTCTACTCAATCTCAGCGCTCACGACGTTCTTGCAAGGAAATCGAATAAGGCTCTGAAACAAATGATGACGAGGTCTTTAGTCGGGGCGACGATAATCAGGGCTCCATCATCTAAGGATATTAGAAAGGCAACTGTAAACAGTGATTCTATGTTCCAGGATCCATGAGGTTCTAGGACCATTTCTATGGCCTACCTACTACCAGACATGTGACCCTACTCACTGAGCTCGACTTTTTACCGTGGAAGGAAATCGTGTGAGAAAATCCCATATCGGCAGCCTTCCAGCAACAACTTCCTTGCCTTTTTTGAATCTCTTCAGGACTTTTCCAGAAGTTAGGATGCACAGAATTTCAACCGGGCACTCAATTCACATACAAGACCGCTCCCTATGAATATATGTTGTGCTGACTGAGTATATGCTTACTATTGAGTGCCTAATTCAGGTATGGTTCCAAAACCGACGTGCCAAACACCGAAAACAAGAAAAACAACTGAACAAGGTGAACTATATTACCATATTTTACAAATCTATCTACCGTAACTCTTGAACGATTGTTCGATTCACACTTGAAGCTTTTTTACCGAATAAGGATCAAGCTTAGCTTGAAATCTCTACCAGTTCTCTCATAACCTCCATCGTTTAGACGCTCAACCCACATCAGGCAATCTTTGCTGCGAATCCAGCTAGCAATATTATGCGACAGGGTATGTATCCATCACCGCTCGGTAACCCCCGTGATAGTTTCTGGTAAGTATCTGATTTGATTTACTAAATTACTTGAAAAACGCTATTCTGCAGCATTGAATTGACTGATATGAGCCGGGAAATTTTTGAATAGTCACTACCAGTGTCGAAAAATGGAATTTTAATCGGTTCCTCCTTCCCTAACACCTTAGAGGAAAGAAATTGCTGTCCAGTCTTTTAGAAAACACGTCTATTAAGTATATACTTCTCATAATGACATCGAGATTCCTCGTGTTTCATGAAAGTGAAATTCAACCAGTCTTTCTGGGTTTTTGGGAGCATATAAGCACAATCAGGGGACGATCACAGGTTACCTCCCAAGAAAATGGCATTTACTAATGAACCAGCTCATTTTTCGGGAGAATTTTTCTTACCGAATAGAATAGATCTCACTTGATACAACTGGAAGTGGTCCTCATTTCAGGTATCCGTCATATCCACGACAAATGCCATATCCAACAGCTACACCGCCATATTCGACAAATTCTTTCACGAATCCTATCACTAAGTAAGTTCAGCTGGGTCCTAAAATAAGCAAATTATAGAGTGAAATAAAAAAACTTGAAAAAAAATCAAAAATTAATCCAAATGGGTTAGAGCAACAAAATTCAATTTCGGGAAGCCGCATATCTAATCTGATATGCAGTTTTATACTTGAATGAAAAAAAATGCACCAAAAAGTAGCAACATTCTGTAAACCCTGGTCATAGTTAGAGGGCATAGAAAGCCAATAAAAGTACATCCTGAAAATCAACGATCAGTACTTTTCCGTCATACGAGTAGATACCTAATTTATCGGTATTTGCGAGAGGTTTTCGCGAAAAAAAAAATTTCTTCTCTTTAAAGGCTAGTCGAATCGTAACATCTGGTACAATATGTAAATACTCTATAATTCCACAGCTTCAGAAGGATCTAAGCCTCTGTAATCCAGCTGAGCAGAAGCATCTCTGTACATACTGTGTTTTCGAATCATTTCAATCAGCCAAAATTGAATATCACCTTTTGAAAAATCGAAAAATTCCCGTTTCAGCTTCAGTCCGTCGATCACGCAGTTCTCTTCCGATGAAGACTTCTACCAAAAATCATTGGCTTTACGAATGTCATGCCAACCGACTGCATCGGCGAACATTGCTAATCTAAACTATCCACAAAGTTAATTATACCATAATGTCACGCGAAGCGGGCGCGGCGCGATGCTATAAAGTGCATCCATAGTCAACAAACGGTTTTTTTCATTTTTTCTGTGTTTGGTATTGTATTCTCGAAATATTTTTTCAATTTATGCAACGTAGTTACAACTTTGATCTGTCTTAAATATGAAATACTACATAGGGAATAACGCTCAATCAAAAACACAGTATGTTCGATATGAAATGAGCTTGTTATTGATTTATCGATCTCAATTACAGAGGCAGCGAGTCAACAATTTTTCGGTGCCGCTGATTTCTTGTAGGAATTAGTATGAACTATTAACAATTTGGAATTCTTGTGCTCTTTGCAATAAGGTCATGTACACATGTTTGTTTTGGCTCGCCGCCCTACTATTTTTGTCAGAGAAATGATCTCCTTCTCTTTCTTTGTCTCAGTTCAAAGTGATGTGTGCACAGCATGTTTGACTTATTCTGATACATTGTACATGTAATATATGAGAATAAATTGTTTGCAATATTTGCTCAAAAATTAAAAAAGATGGAAAACTGGAGTTAAATTTGACTCAAATCGACATAAGCAGTCAGTATCTGGCTCTCGGAAGGGCACCCCTCCTTGGTGAGCCATGAATACGATATTTATATTAACAGCGTGAATAGGACTCGATCGCAATGTACAAAAACGCTTCATCAACTTATTGCCTTTCGTTTTAATGGAAGAGTAGAAGGCATGGCGCATCGAAGAGAAGGGCATGATACATAGTGACGGCAGAGAAAGACAGTTTGTAGAGACTGTTGACCCGTTATATTACATATTCCCTTGTATTTCTATAAAAAAACACTTTTTTTCTGGAATTTCCCTGGAATTTAGCAAACCTAGTTTTCAGACGAGTCCGGTAAGTCTCATATATGTAGCAGTTAGCCAAATGAGGGACCGTAGATTTTGGCTTGGAAGGATGAATTCCTCTGCAAAAACACCGAATAAAGTTTAGGCTTTCTACTCAGTAAGGTTCAAAATTTTTTTCTAGTAAAACTCAAAGATAGCTTCAGCTTGCGAGGAGCTATGCCACCAACACAAATTCATCATTCATTAATTCACTCCTGAAGACTTTCCTATGAATTTTTCAATGAAC